TTTTACAGGTTAGTAAACCGTCTGGTTTTTGACACTGTTTGATCTTGGATGCTGATCCAAAAATTGCTGAAGAGCTGTTGAATTGTGTATTTGTGTTACAATGAATGTCACTAATTGGGCGTTTTGATCCGTGATTGCATACCGTTGATAGGTCAAGTTTCTAACCTTCGGGTCAACCACATCTTTTGGAAGGCAAATTCAATATTTGATTTTGCTATGATAGACGAGACGAGAGTCCTTCTAAACTATCTATTTTGTTGTATTCAGACCATATTACAACTTTACCAACTGCTTAATTTGTATTAATATATATTTTCTCCTTTTATCACCAAAAAAAAAAAAAAAAAATACTGAATCTACCTTCACTGCGGACGTTTACTCATGCCCAATAGATGCCCGCGCTAGTATTCTTTTCTTAAGTGCTTCAATCGGAACTTCCTCTACTAACCCAGGAAGTTCACTCTCACCCAGAGCAGAGAGCATGTCAGCCGTCTCCTTATCGACCTTGATGTGATCCGTCTTGATGGCGGATTCATCGGGGACGAAGTCCATGCGTCACTCACGCCCCTCGTCCTGCAACTTGAGCGAGATGCGCGCCCCGAACCCGACCCTTCTGGTTGCGCTTCATGAGATGGGTCGAGAATCGGGCAATCTGGTAGCAAAGGCGCTTGGAAGGGATTATGGCAACCTCATCGAGTATATATCTTCTTGTTGGTGTGGAAATCAAGAGTCATTCTCCAGTAGTAGCAGCTCGATTACTTGGCGAGATGACTTCTTAACCGTCTTCGTTTGGACTCGTCCCATGGCTGCTCCTGCTTCACTCTTTAAATGCTGAGTCCTTGCTAATTTTATTTCAGTTTCTCTTTCTGAACTATTCTTTAAGTAGGAGTGGAATGGGTAATTGTTCAATTGAACTGCAAAAATGATAATGGGCCAACTGTCTTGATTATTAAGGATAATGAAGGATATATGTATATGAGGGTTATGCTTCCCAGCCTTGGGAGAGGCATAGTGATTTCTATGGAGATATGAAGTCTTTTCTCTTCCAGCTCCATCCAAAGGCATCTATATTCAGACCAACTGGGACCAACAACAATTTTCAATGGGCATGTTTCTGCTTGGTTTCCTACTTTGCTGAAACAAATGTGCTTTTGAATTGTTTATTTGTTTGATTTCAATGAATTTTATATGATGGTTCTCACACTTTTCTTTCTTTATTCAACTTGCTGTGATTAGTTAAGCCCTGTAGGAGAGATTTATGATATCGTTCACCTGGTGCAGCAAGTGTAGTATATTTGTATTTCAACCTTTCCTTTTCCCCGATTGGAATTTTTCTGCAATTGTTAAGCTCCGTTATAATTAGAAGGGCTACTGTAAAATGGATCATTTCTTATTTGATAGGTCTTATTAACTGTTCAAACTGGGAGTTAACTCAAGGGTTTCTCTGTCTGAACTTGGATGAAAGTGGGTTTGACACTGGAATAACAGAAACTTTAATTCTATTGTCACCTTAATTGACCATTCATACCCTCCCTTTTTTTTTTTTTTTCTGAAACAGTTATTTTTTTTTTTTCGTTTCTTTTATCTCAAGTTTCTATTTTAGTAGTTGGAAAGTAGCACCCAGTTCCCATGGTCGGTGGTATTCCATTTCCTTCTAGTGTACGGTAGCATTTCCATGCTTCGTTTTATGTTTACTCATGCATTTAGTCCTATTGTCTTATTTTTGGCCTTCGGTATTATTGTTGTTCAACTGCTTATAGTTGTTTTGTTTAACTGACTTATGTAGCTTACAATTTCCGATTGGCAGTGTGCTGTGAGTTTCAGTTCAGAGACCATTCCAAACGGCATTGTGTTTGGAGGGCAAATTAATCACTTTGGCCATGTTCCACTCAGCAGACTTTGATCAGGGACACACTCTCTCTTGCACAACATTCAACGGCCCTTGCCATTCAAAGAACAGTAAAATCTGCCGAGAACTGATAGAATGCTGGGGAGTTGTGAGGAAAGGAAAACAAGAAGAAAGACAAGATGCTCCTAAAGGTACTGTGTTAGAAAGGTTTAAGAAGGACCGGAATATGCTCAGTATGGTAGGGATTGCGAATGCTAGCGAGTAAATGTGATCATCTTTGGCCTGCACATTTGGATGTGGCTTCAACATTCGGATCAGTGCTTACGGTTAGAAGTCCTGTTCAATATCTGTCTAGTTTAAGGAAAATTGTTTTTATCTTGAGTCCCTGATTCCTCAATCAAACAGAATTTTATTTATTTATTTTCATTTATCAATATAGCACCTAAGAACGCAAGTGTATCATGTATACACCAAATCCTCTAACTACAAAAATTTACTGGTAATTTGAAATAGGAAATTACGGTAGTGTTTATGAGGATCCATAACACTAATCTACTCATCTCACAGAAATATTTTTATGGCTATTTCTTTAGCTAGAAGTAGTAATTATAATGTTTCTCTATTCCTTGCAAACATCTAAACTCATGTGATAAAGGTCGGCTGGGGATTTTTGGGAAAACAATTTCTCTATTCCTTGCAAAGAAATATCAAATAATATGAATCATTGAACTCTTTCAGTGCTCCCCCTGTTGCTTAAGTTTCAATACATTAGTCGGCAGCATAATGTAACTAGCTTGCCTCTTTAATGCAACATTTAGATTTATGATATCATTCACTTGATACCAACAAGAGTTTAGTTAAATTGGTATTCATTAACTTAAAAACTTTAATTTGAGGTCAAGATCTCATATTAAAATATCTATAATGTTAAACAGTTAACTTTTTGATTTAACATATAAAAATAAAATCTTATTCTTCTTTCAGTTGATGCAGCAAGTAGATATAGTCAGATTATTGTTCAAACTCTAAACGTTAATTCAAGGATGTCTCTCGTCTGACATTAATTTTTTTGTGGCTGGTCAAATATGTTTTACATCTATTCTTCTTAAATCATTGATGAAAGTGCGTTTGGCACTGGAGTAAAATAGATTATAATTTTTTTTCTTTTTATTTTACCTGAAAAAGGTTTCTTTCATCTCAAGTTCCTACTTTGGTGTTGGAATGTAGCGCAGACAGACAGTCTGTGGTGTTCGATTTTCTTATAGTTGTAGCGTACACTAGCTCTTCCTGGCTTCGTTTATGTTTACGCATGGATTTAGAACTACTGATTTTTAGTCACAAAGGCTTCCTTATCTGGAACTTTATGGACTTTTCAATATCTCACCCCCAGCTCCTGTATTCCTTAGTATTTGAAGGACTTGCATTTGACTACTTGACCCTACTTTTCAAAAATTCCATTGCATTACATCTCTTGCTTTTTCTTTTTCCTGGATTGCTAGTTTATTGCCTTCTTCACAGCCACCTCTACCATGTTTAATGGCTTCTCTGTTTTCTATCGTCAAAAGAGCAAAACAATGCGGCAAACTTGCTGCCTTCTTGCTGTCATTTCATTGCAGATTCATTTTCATCATTTTTGCAAGTTTGAATGCGACAACTCCGACGGTAACACTCAAAGCTTCAAAAAATCCAAGCTAAACAAAACAGATGTCTAAATACATTCCTCCCACTTTGCACCTATTCATTAGTCCCTGGGTGCTTTGGTTGTCATTTTCTTTGCATCATAGTAACATCTCTCTCGAACTTTTCAGCACCTCCTTCACCGCAGCTTCTCCTTTGGGCTTTGCTGCCTCAAGGGATTTGGAGATTCAGCAACACAAAGGTTGCATCTAACGTAGACTTCATCCAAAAAGCGCTGGCATTTCTATCAACTATATACCTTTGTGTATTCTTCATCTCCCACACTGATGTCTCGCCCCAAAATTAATACCCTTCGGTTAAGTGGTTGTTGTAGCGTAATTTTAGGTGTCGAATCTACAGGGAAGCTATATTAAATCAACAAAAAGAGTTGTCACAAAAAGAAATTAAATTAAAAGATAAAATTTAAAATTAAGAATAAAAATATTTAAATAAAAATAATAATTATTAAAAATCGAAAACAATATTATAATGAATAAGACTTCAGAATTCATTTAATTGATTTGTTTAACCGTTATAAATTTTGATTCCTATTTACTACTTAATTGCATGTTTCACATCCCAAACAAACAATCGAAAGATTTAACTTTGAAAACCAATAATAATAACTAATATATTTATTTTGAGAGAAATCAATTCCAATGAAAAACAAACTGATAAGAGTGACAATATATCTAATCGACAATATTGCAGTAAAAGATTAACCCGCAAAACAAATTTATCAATCAATTATATTTTAACAAATCAAACATAAAAAGAGCATGACTAATCTTATATGAAATTTGATAAATATAATTTTCAAGATTTTTAAATCTGAAAAATAATTAATAATCTCTCAAAAATAAAATTAAATAATAAAATCAATGAAAAAATCAAAATAAAATAACAAATCAAACTTCTTAATTAAGATTCTCTTTAATTTTGTTGAAAATTTAGTTATTCTTTGAAATAATTCTCTAACTTTGAAAAAGAAAAAAGTAAAAGCCTGGTAATAGCCTCTCCAATCTCAGAACAGCCTCTCCAAAATAACTTGGATGGGTATTTATAAAATTTTAGAAACCTAATTATAATGGCCGTGGACCTAGATCAAAATAATTAGAACAGATTTGATTTAGCTGAAAAATCGCGCAAGGGGTCCACACTATTTAAAAGGTGCCGGCACTTTAAGCGGAGCGCTGACTGCAGACCCGGGTTTTTTGGCCTTTTGTGCAATTTTTGGTTAATGGCAGAATAACAGTCTTGGTCCTTGACTCCTAGATTCCACGCGAGTTGATCATCATATTTCTGATCTTTGCAATTTGCTCCTTGATCCTTTGACCCTCATCTTTCTAGCTCTTTGCATTTAAGTTATTTTCTTCTAATTCTCTCCATTTAATTATCAAATCTTCAATCACCACAAGATTTGCATAACATGTATATAATAAACACTTATGAAATTAATTGTAAAAAATAAAACTTTTAAACCCATAATTCTACAAATATTAATAATTAAGTACACTTTAAATATACATTTTCATGCTTTTATCACACACCTTCCTGGGGGCTTAGGATTTGGCTACTTGGTCAACAAAGTAATTTGATGCAGTGCACTCAGTACCCTGTTGGTCCACGGTGAATTACTATTTATATCTCAGTGGCACAATCCCAGAACGATAGCCATCACTCTTTTACTGACGGTAAGATGGGAGCAAAACTAGTTTCAATATGATAGAAGCCTGTCGACATGACTATTATATAACACTCCTTCACTCGGTTCAATAATATAACAATTGTAGTAGACAAGTAATTTGGTAGGCAAGCCGAAGATCATGTTCAAAAATTGACACCGAAACCTCTTTTTATGTTTATTTAGAACACCAAATTATATTCAGAAATGAGTTTAGAGTTCTTTTCTATTCAAATTCAACTAATCTCCACATATAATTAAACTATCTGCATGGTAAGATCTGTCACTTTGTTGAACAATTTTATATATCCTATTTTACATTGTGGCCTAAAAGATCTTTTAACATGTGGATTGTGGGGATTCATAGTTTGTCTAGTGGTGTGAATTTAGAGATGACTACCTGCAAAGATGGTCGACGCACGGTAGGTGTGTGGCTACATACACGTTGTACAATGGATTTGCAACAGATTTTGTGTAACCTTAAAACAGAAGCCTCATTTTAAGATTTTGTGTTGATATAAAATATGTTTAAAGTACTCCTTATACTTCTCTAATAATGTTTTATTTATTAATATTTTATTTATGATAAAAAAATGAATTGAAGATAAAAAAAACAATTGAAGAAGAATTTAGCATTTGAAAGTTTAAAATATGTTTAAAGTACTCCTTATACTTCTCTAATAATGTTTTATTTATTTGTATTTTATTTATGATAAAAATGATGATGAATTTGTGAATTGTCTATAATACCACCTTTCCTTTGTTCCTTTTTGGTTTAACTATTTTTTTATGGTTGCTAATTCAACTAATTGATATGATTTGTTTGGTACCATTCTAAAAAGGTA